TGTGAAGTTCCAAGCATTTTTTTTCCTAAAAGTTTTTAAATGGACAAGGGTAGTTATAAAATGTGAGCTGAAAACTTGACTTAAGATTTGAACCCTTCTTCCCAATTTAAGATTTTTTACTCATAATTAGATAAACAACATTTTATGCAAATCCTTCTAGAAATTATTTTACTATATGAAACAGTGCTCTTTCTGGAGTTTAAGAAATAACCAGCTTATACATTTAGTAACCTTGCACAGTATTAATGGTAAATGATTATTTTATTGAGTTTGTTTTTTCTAAAACTATATATTGCTGCCAACTTAAACCAAAGTATTTCTTGTTTTTACCATGAACAGTTGTATATATCCTACAGACAGATGGCAACTTCAACAGTAACATAGTTTCGCCTATCTTTCCTTGTCTATGATTCCCACAGGCCATTTTATCTCCCAGAACTTCCTTTAAATTCTAACAAAGACATTTTCCTTAAAACTGATGGTATAGAATAGTTCCCTGTTATTTTTCATGTTATTTATATAATATCCCTGGTAGCATACTGTGCTATTATATACTATAAATCGTATTTTATTTCAGAAAGAACTGTTGGTGGTGTTATTTTTAGGTCCAACTCTACTTCTGCTGATATCCAACCCAGCTAAGAAAATAGCCGTAGGAACATTTAAAATCTCACGTACAGTTTGGGATGACATCCATATTACGAATGCTATGGGAACAGCAGTACTAAAAAAGTAAATAGATACACCACTGAATAAAGAGGATGTGCCCTGAACATACATGTAGGTGCAATTTTACATTCTAGAGAAATGAGAAGTTGGGTTTACTTTTTTTAAGCATTATTTCTATGGCCTTTTTCAGACCAAGTAAATTGCCACAAACTGCATTTAGATGACATTTCAACCCAGTTTCAGTCAGATCCATTGGAAAGTACAGAATCTGATACCAACTTGATTTCAAAGGCATGATACATCACACTGAAGCCTGTAACTTCTATTTTTTTCGAAGATGAAGAGTACACTTTTCTTTTACAGAACTGTTATTACATAACCTAACGCTGAACATAGAAATGGGAAATTTAACCTTAGAAAAATTGTCTATTTTCTTTGCTTCATGCTTTAAAACAGTCATAACTGAGCAGTTAAAAATGGACCAGCAGATATCAGTAGAACCGATCAACTTTTTTTACTGGGGTACCCAGTCATTTAGACAGTAAATAAGAGATATTTGATCAATGAACCAGCAATGTGACACCAGGTGTGCAGTTTCACAGTCTTAGTGCCTCATTCTGATCTCTCTGATACCAGCATAAGTCAGGAGTAACTTACGTAAATTAAAAGCATGCACCAAAGTTGTGTGGAGTCAGAATGAAGCACCTTGTGTTCCAATCTGTTTCACTCAGTATTTCATGTCTGACTTAAGAGATTGGCTCGCTTGCAGAGCTCTACATTAGACATATTGCCTTCTTGTTTTAAAATATGTATGTTTAATATTTAATTTAACAGAATTCCATATTCCAGTCTCTGTGTACTGTGGAAGTCCCTTTGAGGCTTGTGGTTTGTATGTGCAGTTGCAATTCTCCTCAAGTGTAATTTGGAAGCACCATTGCCTAATGGGGTGAAAGAAAGTATCTGTCTCCAATTAATCTTGGCTCTCTTTTGAGTGAGTAATGAAAATATTGCCAAGCCAGTGGCTATTTGTAAAGTGGGCTGTAGGAGCTGAGCCAGGCTCACCAAAACGCATTTAATACAGCATGTGTCACAGTGGAATACTAGTAGAGGTACAGGTCTCATCAATTGTCCGCACACTTCAATTATGCACAGCTAATTTAGACTACCACCTTCAAGTGATGACACACTCAAAAATTTTGCCAACTCTGAAATATTGTTTATAATGCTACACATAACTGTAACTGCACATGAAACTGTATAAGTATCATAAAATAGGTACTGTGAATGTAAATTGAGCCTGTGCTTCTATTTTCACAGAAATATAAAACTTATTTTTCATTATATTATGCGGTACAATATTGCATAATATATGCCAAGATGACAGACACATCAATAATATGCAAAAAACTAATTTCACAATTTTAAAAAACGCTCACAGATTTTGAACTTATGATCTGTTGGGACAAACTGTAGAAAGTCTGAAGTTACTTAAGGCCAACAATGCCAGAATGAAAATGGCAGTTTAAATTATACCTGGGTGACCATCACAGCTAGCTTGCAGGAGAGACTATTTTCAAGACCATTTGGCACATCTAGACTTTGGGATAGCTCCCTGAAGTAAAGAATATAAACATTAAAAGGTCAGAAATAGAACAGCTAAGTTATCCATTCACACTGGCAATGGGAATCTTTGCCATTTGGCTCTGAACCACTTTGCCATTCTGCATCCTAATGACAATTACATGTCCCATACTGATATTTCACTTTCAATTTTCATAGAATTAGTGAAAGTATTTAAGGAGTTAATGAAGGCATAGTACTTTCTTTAGAGAAAATATGAAATTAGATTAGAAATTAGATTGCCTTGAAAACATTACATGCAGCAAAATGTGCACTGAGAAAGCCTTCAGGAGTAATCATCTAAGCATGGTTTCTTGTGACTTGCATTTTACTGTTCCACGACAAAGCAAAATAAAAAACCCAAAGATCTGTGGTGAGATTCTGTGGTCTCCAAGAGGCACAGTTCAAAACTTCATAATCCGGGAGAAGTTAAATTGTTTCAAACCATTCTCCATCCTCACAATCACAAACTGCTGCAGGGAGCTGTAAAATTCCCCTGGAATGAACCAGAGTGTATCGGTGGCTACATGGCAGCTCGACAGATATGCCGCAGCCTTGCCCTAACCTGCTGCCCTGCTTCAGCCCCATGCCCAGCATGAGGACTTCAGAGTTTGTCCTCAGACAGCATCTTTAAGTTACCTTTCACCATGTGCTACCAGAGGCATCGTCCCTTTGCCAGGAATAGAGCTTTTAAGGGTCTCTTTATGCCAATCTGATTCCTCTTATCTTACATAAGGGGCCAGAGCAGGGACGCAGCTTGCTCTCTTAGCTCTAAATCTATCCTATATGGCACGCAATTCTCTAAAGTACAGCCAGCTTCTGCTTTGATGAAGCACTGTGCAGTGAAGACTGAAGGATCCGGTTTTTCACCATTTAAAGATGTATGATAGCAACAAAGCTCTATGTTAAAATATTTAACTCGCAGAGAACTTATGGAAATTGTCTATTCAAGCTCAGCAAAGACATTAAATTACCAAGCTGTTCTAGGACAGTTGTGTGTGGAGAAAAGCCAGAAATGCTCTGAGATTGTAACGTTACTTACAAAGATTACAGCATGAGCCTGATTCAGAAGCTTTTTATACAGATCAGCATGGTGAGCTGCAAAATGTTACCATATCAATTTCTGCAAAACATACTGCGTGTGTACATATAGATACAAAATCAGGACTTATACACAGCACATTTCCTGCCACATTTTGAATGGCATCTGTTTGTTTAGTTTGCTGAAATATGAAAAATAATATTTAGCAACTACTGGTAACACAATGTTAACAAGATTTAAGAGTATACCTCTGTCTGTCAAAATGCAGATAAAAGGCAAATCCTTCTATCTCAGTGCTTTAATCAGTCAGATCAGGGGTTTGATGAATATGCAAATGTGACTGTTTATACACTATTTTCAGAGTGAAAGGAAACAAATTCAGTTTCATTATAGAATTAATGACAGCTCTGTCCTCTAAGATTAATAATTAAAACCCTACACACATTAAAATGACAGTGCTCCTTTCTCCCACCCTCTGAAGATTTTACTTTTCTATTTTTTGAATACCGCTTTCCATTATAATTGTTTGTCCCTCTAATTGGAATGATTAATAATTAATACCAGTTCAGGGATATGTAATAGTCATCTTTAGAACAAGAACTGTATTTAACTGACAAAAGGGTTAAAAAACACTTTCTTTTGTTAATTCTGTTTTTACTCTTCTCCGTAAGTTAATTTTTTCCTCCAAGTTTTATGCCACCATAGGGATCTCAACGGCCTGCTGTAACGCTGGAAGCTTTTTATTTATTCCAGTGCAGCCTATACATATGATTTCATTCTGATTTTCACAATATATGCTGGGATTCTTTTTAAAGCCCCAGCTGCTGGGATCAGCAGCCTTCATAGGAATCACAGCTTCCTTTTTCTGACACACACACTACAAGTTTAGACCAAATCAAATCTCAGAGAAAAGATTAAGAATGTCGGACGAGTGCACTATAAAGTCTGAGAATGCAAAAGGAAAAAAACCAACCCAAGATTTCAGCTAATATTTTTTAATCTGATGATTTCTGAGTTGATATGGGAGTGGCTAAATCATGCTTTCCAACTTCTCAGGACAGGCAACGTTTCAGAGAAAGGTTATAGCAAAGTGAGCAGAAGTTCAGCCTTATCATTAACCCTCTTTCCTGCACCAGAAGAACTATCACATTTCATTTTCATGTGGCCACTAGGATCTATACTGAGACCACTAAACCCTTTTTAATTTCAAATCACCAAAGCAGACATTTTAAGAGTAAATAAAATAGGTAGTTTGTGTATGTTTTGCATTATTTTACCAAGAAAAGCTATACTCTAGTTCCAAAGACACATATTTTCTTCTGAACAGAAAAGCTCTTCCAGAAAGACAAATGGACAGAGTACTCTAAAAATCACATTTCTTCAATAAAGCTGTTGCAGTTTCATCTTTGAATGTCTTTAGAGGTGAATTGATCCTACATGGGAATTTAGCATCGCCTTGCATATCGCAAAGGAAATATTTTATGTGAAATTAAATTAGCATTTGTCTATATTTCACCATGCAGGTATGCTACCTCATGTGTCATTGATAGCAGTAAAACAAATACACGTGTGTGTACTTTAGCAGGGATGATGTATTATACTCTATAAGCATTTAAGGGTAGACATTCATAATGAAGCCTGCTAGTTGGCAAGCATGCCTATTACTTACCACACTGAGTCCTAACAGTTCTCTGCAAAAGTAGTCCATGTTCCTCCTTTGTAGGTTGTCAAGATAGTGCTGAAGGCGAGTGTAAGTGTAGGGGTAGCAGTAAGCAAATTGGTAAGTGTCATCCTCTCGGTCAAAGCAAAAAGCAAATGACATGACATAGTTCTTCCTGTGGTCTGGGCAGCGATAGTAATACACATTTTTAGAGGGTATTCTTTGCCTAAAAAACAAAAACAACATATATATATATACACACACATTGACATATATACATTCACATAAGAAATCTGAACAAAAAGGGTATGCGAGATTCAAATTTCCTCTAAAGCAAATGAAATGTAACAGCCTGAACAGCTCAGGAGCTGGCGAGCAGATCCCAGAGCCTGCGTTTTGGAGCACTCATGCAGACAACCTCCACGCCAGGGGCCCGTGCACGGCACAGCTACTGTGCCGGTGCGCCAGTTGCCACAGGGACCGCAGCTCTCTCCAGGTGCCCGAGCTGGCAGAGTCACCATAGCAGGGGAGAGTATCACACAACCAGAGAAACCCACTCCCAAGAAGTGAAAAGGGTGCACAGGCAGTTAAAGCTATCCTCTACTTCTCTATCAAGCTGGTGCAATCTCATACCACTACACAGGCTTCAGCCAAACCTCTGGCCGGAGTGTGGCTACACCCTTTCATACAGGCCTCATTCACCAGCACAGAAGCAAGGCATAATTAACGAAGGAATGTCAGTATAAGGCAACATTGACAGAAATGTTACCAAAATTCAGAACATCTTTATATTTTTATTATCCTTAATTGTCAGGGGATATATCAACACCTAGCCAATGAATGGAGGAAAAGATAAACTCTTGAGGTGAAAAAAACCCCCAGAACCCAAACAAAAAACTTCAGGTATGGAAAATAACCTGGTCCTAAATTAGAACGCAAAGGAGAAAAGGGTATGTGGTCCTGTTCCAAATTGGATTGCTGCCCTCCTCAAGAGTTCTGGCCTATAGTGCTGACAAGATAAAAATGAATATACATGATGGTAAATAATTATAATAGAGACATTTATGTCATTGTTATCAAGCTGGTATCTGTTTAAGGAATAATAAATGTCTGCCTGATATCTTTCACCCAACTTCAGTTATTCTGTTATTTCTTAACAGAAATGAGTACCGCTTCAGAGGTGGGTGAAACACTTGTTCTATGGACTAGAGATATTCAATATTTCTGTTTGTACTCTTTCTTCATTTTGTAGATAGATTTTCTAGCTTTATTTAAACAGGAGATTCTCTAGTCACGCCATGCACTTGTAATTTGATGTAACTAACTTACCAGCCATGTTTGGCAACAAAACACTATGGTCCTGCAGACTCTAACTGATTCAATTACACAACATTATAAACAGGTCTCATCTAACGATTGGAGCAGATCTCAGCTAAACTAGGATCATGGTGAGGGAAAACATAATAAGATTTACAGACATAGCAGCAGTAATGTGCCTCTTTGTAATAGTTCCAAGAAGCTGGTCTACTGCAGAGCATCAGTTTTGGCCTTTCATTGCTAATATGAAATAGAGGACAAAACCCTCTCATTATGCAGAAGTACGTGTTTGCCAGTTAGCAGCAGTTAAGGAGTCTGATCAGCAAGACTCAGGAGCTACAAAGAGAAACAGAAAGGAATTGAGATGTTCTTGAAAAAGTACAATAAAGAGCCAGTGATGCAGTTAATTAGACTTGAAACAAGAATTTATTTGCCCCTTTTATTGCCCTGGTTCTTGGACATTCAGGGCTTCAAGAATTTACTTCAGTATTTTTGGTTAAATAAGACACTTGCTTATCACTAAGATCTGAAAATGATTTTTAACCCGCAAATATGAAGGACAGAAAAACAATTCTTTTAATTTTTTTAAAAGTATCAATAGGGGAAAAATGCCACCAGCCGTCTGCATGCAGTACCCTAACCTAATAGGTTTCTCCAGTATCTTAACATATTTCTATCATTTGCCCTTACTCTGGAGTGCTATAGGACATCCCTCATTTGATCTCAAATCAAGCAGATGATATGGCAGTGGGTAAATGTATTCTAGCTCCCAGTCCTCAAACCATAATGCAAGTTTAAACAGTATGTTGCTGAGTTGTTGAACTTTATTTGTTTCCAAATTAGCATGGGAGAAATAATAAAGGACAAGCCTCACTTTATGCTATAAAAATTTCACGTAAAATAGGAGGAAATTCAGGATTTTAGAAAGGCTAATGCTAATTGAAATTCATCTGCTGATAGTTAATGTTTAAATGACACATAGTTCTCCTTGGTTCAATAACTTTCTACTTTTAAGCAAGTTGAAGACAACTTTGTTAATGTATTAAAGGCACTTTTGATATTTCATTCCCTTTCCCCTTCATTATAGAAACTAAGCATCTGTTTTATTATCCACTTTGACACATCACTTTATGGCTGCATTTGGCTATTATGGCTAATCTTGATTTCTAGGACATCTGGTATTGACATTTCACTATCTGGTGTCTGACACAACAGCAGAAACCATCCTCAGTTCCTAGGTTTAAATTCACCCTCTCAGGGCAGAAAGTGCCCAAAGTCTTAATTCAAACCATATCTTCCAAAAATAATTATAATGGTACTCCTGTCACTGCTAATCTATTTTTATCTCTCCTAGCACTTTGTCACTGCTAATCTATTTGTGAGTCATATAGAGAAAGAGAGTTAGTGTTTAGATACCAACAACACATCTTACACACAGGAGCCTAATCAGATTGAGATCTTATCGGGGAATTAAAGAAAAAAAAGAAAAAAGGGGGAAGAAAAAGAGAAAAGAGACACAGTGCTAGATATCACCAACTGAGTTTTTGATAACGAAAAGACATTGCTCAGTTCTTGAATTAACCTTTGTGTCCTAGACGCAC